GAGACAGGACGGAAGATGGAATTGCCCAGCAGAGTAGAGGAGAAAGCACTGTACAAGGCAGCCAGGTTGGAGGCAGGGCACCGGGAAGGAGCTGAGAAACACGGAGAGGGCTTTTAAGCTGAGGCTCTTGCCCCTGACATTGCAGCCATGCTTTATTCCTGGCTCTGCACCCCATGGATCCAGACCCTGCCCCACAGACTGATCTCACTCTGTGGCCAGTCCTTGTCTGGGGCTCCCGCTGCACCTCACAGGGCTCACGGGGGCTGGTGGTGTGGGTCAGGAGAGCCTGGCCAGCCTCCTCGTTCCCCCAGTGCCCTCCGTGGTTCCCCAGTGTACTGTGGGGGTAACAACCCTATAGCGAAGGGTGCTGGGATCCACTGTGCCCAACCAAGGTCGTTGGGGGATGGAGTGGTAAAGGGTTTCATCCTTTGGTGGGATGAGTGGGAGCACCAAGCAACGTGACAAGTGCAGTGGAGCGAGGAAAGATGCCAGCATCACTGTGGGGCACAAAAGGAAGAGTTACAGACAGACTGGTGTAGAGAAAGGCTGTCAAAATCAAGAACCCAGCTGCAGTGTATAATCAGAATGGTGTCTCTCTTTCCTTCCAAAATAGTATTCTCAGCACCCTCTCAGGGTCTTCTTTAACTGAAAGAAGCAGGTTTCATACCTCCCAGCTCTTAGCCTCTCATCAATACTTAAAAGAGAAAGCAGAATTTGGCCGTGGAAAGCTGCTGGAAAGGACAAACAGACGAAAGGGGAAGATGCTAGCAGTGGATCACCTAGCAAACTGGGGGAAAGGACAAACAGACGAAAGGGGAAGATGATAGCAGTGGATCAGCAAACTGGTAACAGCTCTTTCCCACCAGCAGCTTTCAAACTGTTGTTTCCTATTACTGCATATTTATAGAAAGCCATGCACACTCATTGTATAACAGGGCTGGAAACCGTATAAAATCTAAGTCTAAACACTGTTTTAACCCTCTCAGCTCTAGGAAATACTGGCACATGGCTAGAAAGGGAGCAGCTCCTTGAAAGGACATGCTTGTGCGAGGAGAGGACAAGAACACAGAAGTCAGAGTGACACTTGGGAAGTGAGCAAATCCTGTTAATGACCAGTATTACTGCTGCCTACCTGCTGATGTGAGGGCTTCACAGCAAAACAGATCTTGCAAAACAGAAAGAAGGCACAAAAGATGCTGTTCATTCTTATGCTACAAAATAAGATACTACAGGTCATTCTGTTAATGCGACCGGCAGCATTAACAAGCAAAGAGACACAGTGCATCAGAGCATACTAATGGTTAAACACTTCAAGACTAATAGGCAAACCTATAGGGATTTTTTTCTTGCCCTAATCTGGATGACACTTACTTTCTGTCTCTCTGTTTTTAAAATCTAGAGACATGCTAGAGAGGAAAGATGGTCCAAACAGCAGACCACTACACGTGGATTCAGGGGATTTCTATTTCTATTCATTTTGCTGCTCTGAAACAGGTTTCTTATGGGCTAAGAAAAATATCCCTTAAAATTAAAGCATAAAATTTCACCTCCGCCTTAAAATCATAGTGAAGTAGATGTCTACACTTCTTCGAGGATCTCAGAGGGTTTTCTGTCTCCAATGTGACCTTCCTCTTGTGAAGACGGAGGAAGTACTTTCCTATCTGACAGAGCCACTGAAGGCTGAACATACTAAAGATGGGGAGGTATTAACCCATGTATCTTGCACAGACAGGAGGTTTTGTGCAATTGTACATAAGATAGTATGAACATTTTCCTTTCTAACAGGAAAATCTAAATTCTAACATGATTGCATTTAATCCCTCGCTCAAAGGGGAGTGGTCGGTTCATAATGCCATAATCTGAAGTTCCCCCAGACCTCATCCAAACTGTTGGGCATCGTTTCCATCACCAGTTTAAGATAATTGTAAAAGTCAGTAGGTACAAGAGAAGAATTGAGCTTACAAGCAAAGAAGCGAGTTGGTAACATGTCACCCATTCCCAAGTGAAAGCACCACCCAAATTAAGATTCGTTAATCTGTTCTGGAATTTGAATGACCCAGCAACATAAGGGGGGGTTAAGTGTTTGTTTGGGCAGGAGTGCCTGTGAAAAAAAAACAAACAAACCAACCCCAGATGAGAGCAGAGAAAGGGACCTGAAAGCCGGAAGGCAAAGTACAAGCTTTTAACAAGCCTAGGAATCGCAATCCTTAGGGAGCTAAAAGATAGTACAGCTACACTGATTTATTGGGGCGCTGCCAGTAAAGACAAGAGGGGTTTCCCCAATCTCTCCTGCCATCACATACTGGAACGTAATCCAAATCACAATAGAACCGATGGCAAGACATATCCAACAGTATACACGGCTCATGGGATCCCCCCTCTATATATGGAACAGGGACATCTGTATGGTTTTATATGGTAACTGCACCTGGCAGACAGCAGCTTGTCTCTAGACTAATGACCAAAGTAAGATGGAAGTAGAATTACTCATAAGTGCCTTGTGCCAAAGAATCTGCTGATGACATGACAAAACCAAGGCAATGGCTAACTGTTGCTAAAGGAGGTGGCCCCACTCCCTTCCTCCTCAAGTTCCTCCTTGACACTCCTCTGATGTTGCTGTGACTGGCTCTGAAAGCTAAAGCACCAAAAAGCCAATCGTGCTGAAGTGATTTTCTTACTCATTTGCTCACAGAACTGGTTTTGTTCCACTGCAGGGTGAGACAGGCACAAATACTGACACACAGAAAGATGCAAGAACAGGCAGCCTACAGGAGGCTGCATCCTTTTAGTATCACTGAATTTAGCTCCACGATAACACCGAGGCCTTCACAGTCCACAACTGCTGAACTTGGTCCCATGATATCTCTGAGCAGGAGAATCTTCAATCAGAGCCACTGTCGGATGGAAACAGCCAATGCCTTGAGAGCCACTAGAAATCCTGTGAGAAGGAAAACGCGGGGCATAGCTACCAGCTGCTACCTGAACTACACACCCAAAACTAAATTCTGCCAGGCAGATTGCTCTTTACCCAACACCTCACCCTCTGGCCCTCAAGGATGACTGCCATTTTCATCTCGTCAAATGTGAGCAAGAGAAAGGCTTTCACGTATGACCCCCCAGTCAGTGCTTCCTCCTACAGAGCCTGGACCTCGAGACGCTGCTGGAATCAAAAAAAGGGGAATTTGAGTTCTGACTTCCACAGCAACAAACCCCATGAATAATAGTGCAAAAGCACTGGAGCTCAGCAGAAAGTTAGAAAGGATTTCTTCAGGGTTAAGAAACATCCAGTCTATTCTGAGCAACCTTTCATGCAGTGCGAAACAACATGTTAGCTGAACAAGGATAATTCATTTTCAGCCAAAGCTGCTAAACTCACCTTCTTTCAGCAGCATTACTGGTTTTAGGTGACTACAGTTACAAGAGTTACATATTTTGTTACGTCTCTTTCATAGGGGCTTGCTTCCCCCTCTAGCCACAGCAAGCATTTCATAGAACCTGTCCCAGTGCTCCACCACCCTCACAGTGAAGAACCCTCTCCTCATCTCCAATCTAAATCTGTTCCCCTCCAGCTTGAAGCCATTGCCCCTCGTCCTGTCACTACAGGCCTTTCTAAACAGGTTCTCCCCAGCCTTCCTGTAGGCTCCCCTCAGGTACTGGAAGGCCGCTATTAGGTCTCCCTGGAGCCTCCTCTTCTCCAGGCTGAACAACCCCAGCTCCCTCAGCCTGTCCTCGTAGCAGAGGTGCTCCATCCCCCTGATCATCCTTGTGGCCCTCCTCTGGACCCTCTCCATCAGGTCTATATCCTTCTTATATTGAGGGCTCCAGACCTGCACACAATACTCCAGGTGAGGTCTCACCATTTCTACAGCTCTATTCTGAGTCTCCATCTTTCTTCCTCAGACCTTATCCCTACTCAAGATTCCAACATTTTTCAGGCCATGTCTGCCTGGGAACACGACGGCCAGCCGCACTCTCACCAGAGGTCTCACCATTTCTACAGCTCTATTCTGCGTCTCCATCTTTCTTCCTCAGACCTTATCTCTACTCAAGATTCCAACATTTTTCAGGCCGTGTCTGCCTGGGAACACGACGGCCAGCTGCCCTCTCACCGGTTCTGCTGTTTCTTTCCACCCTCTCACCCAAGCCAGCTCACACCAGTGGCAGAGAAGAGTTAGTTGCACGGTTCTCCATCCCATTCCACCCTTTTTTTAAGTTCTCTTCACCTTCCCGCCGTGCTGCCTGCCAGTCACCTGGACCCACAGCTTCAGTCCCGTCCTTCTCGGGTGGGATGGAGCCCTTTTGAGTCTGCAGCACAACCCAGGCAACCCTACATGCAGAAAGCAGCTCCTTCCTACTCATCCACTCCTTCCCCAGCTCCCTCTGGCCTCCCAGTGATGCCGGGGCAGGAGAAAGCCTCACAGAGCTGTGTGGGGGATCTGAGAGAAGCTCCCCTTCACAAACCTCACCTGAAATGCTTCCCTACCACCGGGAGGGAGACACACACACAACTCCCCCCGGACCCTCGGAACTGCTATTTGCCGAGTTCCCACCCCCTGAGCTGCCCGGGGGATTCTGGCTGGGGGCAGCCCGGCTGCCAGACCACCACCCCCCGGTGGCCCCGGGCCCCCCAACGGGGCGAGGGGGGCAACAGTCCCGCGGGCAGGACGGCTCCAACCACCCCCCCGCCGCCGGTCAGCTGGCCGGGGAGGCGCTTTGCTTATGGAAAAGTTCCCTAAGTGGGGAGGGAGGACCAAGCCACCCAGCCCAGGCTGACGGGCAACCCCCAGACCCTCATCCCCCCTCGCTGCGCCGCCCCGCAGC